TAGCCCTTTACATACATGATTTCATTTGAACCTCAAAGCAATCCTTTGTGAGGTAGGTGCCATTATCACCCCCATTTTAAAGATGGGGAAACTGAGTCTCCGAGAGTCTAGGCTCACACAACTAGTATCTAAATCAGGATTTGAACCCAGCCCTCAACTATGCCATGCTGTCTAATGGGCAGGAACACTTAATTTCTCAGTGCTCCCAGAAAACTCTCTAAGAGTGTAAAGTTATGGATTAGTTGGTGGTCCACATTGCTGAGGGGTCAAAGTATATATTACATTTCCTATTCCTTTTCTTAAAAGTTATAAGCCAACTAACTGTGGGAGAAAGTCAGGTTTGCCTCCATTATCCATGACTCTGAGATTATCACTGTTCTGTGGCCTGATTCTGCAAATATATGGAAATGGTGGCTTGGAAAGGGATCAGGATTATGTGATCTCCCAACCTCTTATGAAGCTTAGTCTCTGTTGACTGAGGCCTTTCTAACTATGATAATTTCTGACTCATTCATATAACTGTCTGGCCTTTCTGATTATGGGATAGCAAATTGAACCGAATTTTTCCTTGAAGACTGTTTCAGCTACCCAGAGGATAGATGACTGAGATAGTACTGCAGTCTGAAAGAATAGCATCAACAAATTCTACCCATACACCCATCCTCCAAGCCAAACTCTACCCATCACAGTTATACCAAGAATGGGGCAACCAGGGCTTCGTCCAGAGTGCAAAATTTTACAGGGAGTTAAGAGCACCATTCAGAAGACACACTTCCTTCCCACCCCACCCCTACTCCCCTCCCCTACACTCAAGTGAGCCCGCAACTCCTGGCATAAATTTCCTAGTTACAGGAATATGCAATTTGTATAACATGTATTTATAGGAATATGTTTTTGCTTTCAATGGGTAGATAACGTTTGTGAGTTTTTAAGGGTTTTTTTTAAATATCCAGAAGAATGGAAACATTTACATTTGTTGTGCAAAAATAGAGGGACTAGGGAAAACGTAACTCTTTCTCAAAAGGTTTAGAGAGCTGGATTTGGAAGCACCCGGATACTTCATAGGCCTTTAAAGGTGGATGTAGGGGTAGGGGCAGGCATACTTGACATCTTGAGGAAATGGTCTCTGTCATGAAATTCCCAAAGTTTCCGCTAGGAGAGAAATCCAATGAGCTCTGCCTCCAATGGAGCATTTGATTTCGCTCTCTCTCCCTTAGAAATTACAAGTATGGAAACCAGAAATAGCAGAAGCTTGCACAGGTCTGACTGCCCTTGAGTTCAGCAAGCTCTGCTTCTCTGGGAAAATGCACTGTTTTATCCCCAGGTACATCAGATTATCACAAATGCAGAGCATCAGCTAAAAGATAGTTGATTTCATTAATTTTTTAAAAAGGTTGTTGACACTGGACTTAGAGGCAGAAAACCTGGGCCCGACTCCTGACTGTGCTGCTCACTAGTGTAAATGTCAGCCAGTCTCTTTATGTGGCTAAAAACTACTTTGTCAATTAATTAAATTGACTGGCTCAATTAGAGCTTCAGTTTCCACATCTGTAAAGTGGGCTTAACAATATACTCTCTGGGGATGTGGAAAAATGGGGACACTAATGCACTGTTGGTGGAGTTGTAAACTGATCCAACCATTCTGGACAGCAATTTGGAACTATGCCCAAAGGGCTATAAAAATGTGCATACCCTTTGACCCAGCAATACCACTACTAGGTCTGTATCCCAAAGAGATCAAAGGAGAAGGAAAAGGGCCTATATGTACACAAATATGTCTAGCAGCTCTTTTTGTGGTGGCAGAGAATTGGAAACTAAGGCAATGCCCATCAATTGAGGTATGACTGAACAAATTGTGGTCTATGGTTGTGATGGAATACTATTGTGCTATCAGAAATGACAAGCAGGACGGTTTCAGAAAAACTTGGGAAGTCTTATATGAACTAAAGAAGAACGAAGTGAGAAGAACCTGAAGAACATTGTACACAGTAACAGCAATATTGTAATGATGATCACCTGTGAAAGACTTAAGTACCCTGATCAATACAATGATCCCAGACAATTCTAAAGGACCCATGATGAACAATGTTATCCACCTCCAGAGAGAGAGCTGATTAATCCTGAATGCAAATTGAAGTATACTTTTTCTTGCTTTTTTGGCAACATGGCTAATATGGAAATATGTTTTACATAATTTCACATGTATAATTGATATCTTATTGCTTGCCTTTTTAATGGGTGGAGGAGAGGCTGGAGGGAGGATGAGAATTTAGAGCTCAAATTTTTTTAAATGTTAAAAATAAATAAAATATGTGTTTTTAAAACTGCCCAAAAAACCCAACAAAAAACCAAGAACCCAAAACAATATACTCTCCATCTGCTAGGTTACCATAAGGAAAGAGTGAAAAGTCTGTTGTAAACTGCAGAGGGGATAGGCATAGGGCTTGAACCTATGATTTCACAGGACTAGGGAACTCCAAGATGAGGAAACCTCCTCCATTAATGCAGGTTGGCACCTTCTCTGCGACATAGTTTTTAGAGAGTTCCCTAGAGCACTGAGAGGTTAAATCCCTTGCTCAGGGTCACACAGCCAGGCTGTGTAAGAGGTGGGGCTTGAATGTAGGACTTCCTGGTTCCAAGACAGGCTCTCTACCTACTACACCATGCTGTCTCTGTCCAAAGCTATATAAATGTGAATTCTGATTATTTGGGGAGGGGGGGAGGCAGTTGGGGTGAAGTGACTTGCCCAGGGTCACACAAGTAATAAGTGTCTAAGGCTGAATTTGAACTCAGGTGCTCTCAACTCCAGGACCATTGCTCTGTCCACTGCAATGCCACCCAGCTGCCTCAAATGGGAATTATTAATACTATTCTTCTTCTCCCAACAAAGTCCTTCTCGGATGCTTCTTTGTGGCATGGGGGTGACCTTGGCCTCTCCAAAGGTCTTCCAAGGGAGGCTAAACTCTACCCAGTTCTACCACACTAGAAATGCTTTCAGCAAAGCCTGGCACCTGCATGTCTGTTGTCTAAGGCCCTACCTGGTTAAGGAGGTTGAGTACCCCGAAGTATGAGCTTTGGGGGCCATAGCAACTCAAGAAGACTGCAGTAGCAGCAGCAGAATTCACACAAGGAAGGCCATAGGTCTTCTCAGGTATTGAAGGGTTAGGAGTATCAGAGGAAGCCCTATGCTAGGTGGCACAATAGCTAGAAAGTTGGGCCTGGAGTCAGGAAGACCCGAATTTAAATCCTGACTCAGATACTAGCTGCGTGACCCTGGGTAAGTCACTGAACCTCTTTTAGCCTCAGTTTCCTCAACTGAATAATAAAAACAATAATATCACTTAAAGGGTTGTTATTAGGATCAAATGAGAAAATGTTTGTAAAGCTCTTTGAAAAACTCAAAGTGCTATATAAATGCAACAGTTACTACTATCATAGGCTTTGAGAAATGAATACGCTTCTTTTGGTTCAGGTACTAATAGTCCGAGATGACCGTCTCAACTGTAAACAGGTGAAGAAAAATCAAGATCCTGCACTTTGTTTTCATTTAAATGATTTCCTCGATCCAGTTTTACACACGGTACATGCAAGGCCAAAGGCCCAACAGAGTTACATAGCATTGAGCTTGGCGATTGCCATACCACCCTGAATGAACCCACAAGATCTGGGAAGCTAAGCAGGGTCGGGCCTGGTTAGTACTTGGATGGGAGACAAAGCATTGATCTTGATGTAACCAGTGTCAGGAAGAAAAACACAATTTCATAGGTCAAAGATGAGAAAAAACAATTCCTTGGAAGAAACTTGGGAAGGTGAAAGAAAACAGCTATGCTCAGGGCCGTGATTACTGGACTAAAGTCAAAGAAATCACAACAGCTGAAACAGCTTCTTTGAATTCTTTTGGATGTTCTGCAAGACGTGTGATTGTGGAGACTTGTCCATTTCAGTTTGCACAGCTGCCCCAACACACACATTGCCCCAACTGCAGATGTCCACCCCCCTCGCCAGCACTCTTCAATTCAATTCAATAAGTGTTCATTGAGTGCCTGCTCTGTGCCAGGCACGAAGGATACAAGGGCAGAAAGGAGCTTCCATTCCCAGGGACTACTCTGATTCCCCCCCTCACCTCTCAGAGAGTGCACTGGCTCCTCATTGCCTACTGAATGAAGAGAGAAACTCCTGACTCTGGGATCCATCCCCTTGAGAGCAGGGCCTATGTAGATTTATCTTAAGTGCCCTTAAGTATCCTTTGTGTAGTAAGCACTTAATAAATATTTGTTTAATTGGATTGACTTTATATCTTTAAACAAGTCCATATTTCACCTGCAACAAGAGCTTTAATAAACCACATGTCCCTTAAGGAGCATCTTATACTTCCCATAACTTCAGAGATATTAGATAGTGACCAGAATAGGGACTAGACCAGTGATTTGTCCCAGGCAGAGGGAATTCCCAGAGAAGAAAATGCTCCCTACCAATGCAGTTCAGTGCCTTTTCTGCAATTTACAATCTCAGAGAGCTGCCTAGTGTACTGAGTGGTTAAGTGACTTGCCTAGGATAACACAGTCAGCACATGTCAGAGGCCCAGGTCTTCCTGGCTCCCTGCCTGTCTTTCTATCCAATGTGACTCCACAATGCCTGTCTCACGGAGCCTTTAATCCATCACTCTCCCCTCATTGTAGCATCCTGCCTCAGTTCCCCATGTTGCATGGGTATTTTTCCAGGCTCTCCAAGGTCATCCTATACTATGACATCTTACAATGAGGATTTCCAAATTATCATCAGTTTCCCCATTCTTCTCTCTAATCTGACCACCCATGAGGGCCAGTGCTCTTCTATATCTTCCACTACTCCTCTGTGGTTTGCATAGCCTTTGGAAAACTGTCTCTTTCAAAAGTTTATAGGTGCCCTGGGGCTGAGCGAGATCCAGTGTGCTAAAGAGACCATCCAGCTGTGGTGGATGAATTGTTGACCTGAGCATCTGCCACACTGAGCCCCAGTACCTGAAAGCAAAAGACTCCTGCAGCTGAACTTGCAAAGCTGTTTTGGAGGGGCTGATTTTCTGGGGGTGGGAAGGTTAACAGGAATTCTGGGAAACTACTCCCGGGTTCCAGACCCATTGGGATATACACAGGAAGAGCTTAGCTACATTGCTCCCAGCTATGCTGTCAAAATAGACATTCAATTGGGAATGGTAAAGCTTTCTCCAAAGTAAGGAGTTTCTCATCTCCAGATTTCACATTTGCTTATCATTATTATTGGGGATTCCCCCCCCCCGAGAAAAACAGTTCCCAGCAACCACAAAAAGAGCTCTCTGGAACATTAATCCAGAAAGGAACAGCTAAGACACTTTTCTGCCTTGATTTTAACAGGAATCCAACAGCCCAAGTAAATTTCCCCCCAGGCAACTTCCTACCCTCTACAAAGAATATGAACTCAAGCAAGAACCTGCGTTTAGGAGAAGAGATCCTTTCAGACTTGCCATGGTGGCTGAGTGGAAGATTTTTGCAGACTCCCCCCAACATTTTCTCAGTTCCATCTCTTGTCCAAGGACAGGAGGGGAAACAGTCTAACTATTCCCACTGGGCAGGCCATCTTCTGGCTGGGACAGAAAAAATGCTCAGGGACTTCTTTGCCCTCATTTATGACTGTAGAAAGCAAGTTCCATTGACTTGCGGCCAAGATCATGTCAGAAAATGGTGTCAGAGCAATCTGTCTTGAGCTTTACCAAGATTCTCTTGATCCTGGGTCACATTTATACCATAAATAAGATTTGGCACTCCTATCTGAAGACATGGAAAAATATTATGGAATATTAGAAGCATAGAATTTTAGAGTTTAAAGGGACCTTAAAGATAATTGAGGCTAATAGATAAGAAATTGAGACTCAGAGAGAATGACTTACCTAAGTAATCCAGGGCTTGAAGAGGGTGCCTAACACCCAACCTACTGCTTTTCTCTACTATAATCACACTGTCTTCCCAATTATAAAGCCAGAATGCTGTCTTCCTAACCTAGACTAGTCCTTACTTCAGTATTGCAAAGGTGTATAATTTCATTGGTGTGGGGCACTCCCTTAACCAATGAAGATAGCAACCCTTTTATAACTTGGTATTTGGGTGTTGCTGTGGTTGAAAATTTAATCTCAACACCCTGGGGCCAGCCTGGTGCTGAGCATCTCTCAGCTTGGTTAGGTTGGTCCTTGGATGACAGATATATGGTCCATCCCCAGGCCCTACTCTAAGCTTTTCCTGCTTGGAAAGACATGTTAGTGCTTCTGCTCTACTGGCTGAGCACTTGAGAGCCTAGGATTACCTTCAAAGCATCACAAGGCATTGAAGATAACTTCACCAAAGGATAATTACTTTTTACTGAAAACAAACGGCAGCCTCGGATTCTAAATGAACTAAGTGAGTGAACTGAGAGTCATGGAAGATGCTTTGCTGGGGTTTTTACTGATGTAGTAGCTACCATTTATATAAATAATTATGTAGGGTTTGCAAAGAGCTTCACGTATGTTATTGAATTTGACCCTCCAAGTGAGGAGACTCAGGCTGAGAGAGGTAAAGTAACTTCTTCAGGGTCACACAGCTAGTCAGTATCTGAGGCAGGATTTTCTCTGTCCACTGTGCCACCACTGATGTATCATGGAAAGTAGTGACCCAATAGGTCACATCAAAAATGCATACTATATAGGATTCTTAGCTGAAGGTGAATAAGCACATTCCTCAAGACCATTCAGATACTGAAGTAAGTTGTATATTAAATGGCATAAGCAGACAACCTTGGAATCAATAAGACCTAGCTAGGTTCACATCCTGATCTGACACATTTGTAGCTGAGTGCCCTGGGCAAGTCACTTAACTTATGAGTGGCCTCAGGTACCTCTCTAAAGACTGCAATTAAAGGTAAGTTGCTGATCTGCTTGGTAGGGGAGAATTTCCAGTCAGGAAGTTCCCCAAAGCAATGAAATCATCAGCCAGATCCTCCCACCTGTGATTACTTTGTATTTAGACACTTTTAAAACTAGGTAGCATATATTTTGGAAGCAATCCAGATGACTGACTTGCCCGGGGTCACACAGTGTCTGAGGTAAAATTTGAACTCAGGTCCTCCTAACTCCAGTGCTAATGCTCTATCTACTGCAGTGCCACCTAGCTGCCCCCAGCATATATTTTAAAAGCTAGTTCAAAGACAGTGGTGTCAGAGGAGCATTGGACAATTGGAGAAAGCTCCATTTCAGTCATCCCCATATATAGGAGGCAGTGGCAAGACTTAGAACTGTAGGACTCGAGTTCAAATTCTAGGTCTGCTATCTGTGTAACCTTAGGCAAATTGCTTAACTTCCTGGGGGCCAGTTTCCTTTGTAAAATGAAGAGATGGGACTAGATGACGTCTAAGGTCTCTTCCAGCTCTAGAGTCATGATCCTAGGATATGTATGGGCATAGATGATCACATGGTCATATACATTGTCTATATGTCTTTTGACAATCAGCCTAGCCAAGTTCGGAGAAGATCATCACCAGGCTGATTTATGGGATAAAGAATTTTTCATCCTGGAAGATATTTAGAAGGCCTAGAAGGTTGACCTTGTTATTCAGAAGTGCCCCTCCCTCCACTGATGAAATTACAGATCCTTGAAGAATTGACATATAGGGCACATTAAAATATTGGATTCAAATGTGTGTGTGGAGAGAGAGAGAGAGGGGAGGGAGGGAAGAACAGAGTGGCAGGGAGATGGGGGAGGGGGGAAGAGGGAGGGAAGGAGAGAGAGGGAGAGAGAGAGAGATAGAAAAGAGAGAGGGAGGGAGGGAGAGACAGAGAGACAGAGAGAGAGGTTCATCTAGCTATACAGATATACATACACTCATCAGCTGAGAGCACAAAAGTATATTCCCCACAAAGTAAGATCTAGTGATCAGGGATTCTTAACCTTTCTTGTGGCATGTTCTGTGGTGAAGCCTGTGGGTCCCTTCTTAGAATTTGGCTTTTAAATAATTGAAGGAAATGCTAAGTCTCATTAAGAGCTTAGTGAAAATAAAGCTCTAACTTTTTCCTTCTCCTAGTTGAGGCACTCATTGAATTCTATCCACGGATCCCTTAGGGGGTCCCTTGGACTCCAGGTTCAGAAAAAAGAAGCTAACAGAAGCCTGCTGAGGCCTGCTACCTTGGAGGCTCATCTTTTATCTGTGAGAAAGAGAATCCAAACGTGGCCAGGGCCGTGTGAGGTAGAACTTTTATTGAAGAACGAGATCCCCCCTGTTGGATGACCCCCAGGCCTGGGCAGACGTCTTTTTTGGGCAGATGTATGTTCCCGACCTTTCCTTTCAAGTTAAAGCTTAAAGAAAGCCTTCGGATCAGGGCAAGAGCTGGCCAAGCGCATGGTTTCTGGCGCTAAGGCTTGCACTTGTAAAACCTCCAAACCTGAGCAGCCCCGTAGAGCACCCTGGGGTTCAGTGCGCGGGCCGTCCTGCCCCCTAGACCTGGCTTGGTATCCCAATTTGCTACCAGTCGGCTTTCCCCGTTCTCAGGAACATCAGCCCCCAGCAGCCGCCTGCGTTAGCTAGTCAAAAGCCCCGGGAAGACTTTTCTGGATCTGGTTAAACACTATTTGCACTTTTGTTGGAAAAGTGGCCCCTCGTGGGCAATTATGTCACATTTCTTTGAGTTTTACAATTTAATGTAAAACAGTAATCTTTTATTTATCCTAGACGAGGCCGTCTCTCTCTCCCCTCCCCTCCCCCTTCCCTCCCCCTTCCCCTCCCCAACTCCCCTCCCCAGCCTCTGAAATGTCACTCAGTGTGCTCTTTTTGCTTCCACCAGTTTCCAAAACAAACAGCGGAGGCTGCAGGCTGCAGGCTGCGGGCCGGGCTGGGCTGCCTCAGTGCCTGCATCAGGGCGGGCGCTCGCTCGATCGCTAGCTGTTCTCCCCCGGCTGCCTGCTGTGGCGCCCCCATTGGAGCTCCCCAGCCGGCCCTCCGGGGCAGGGCGGCTCCCTCCCAGGTCTCCCCTTGTCAATCTTGTAGAACCATTAGGGAAAAAATGAATGGGGGGCGGATTTAACGACTGATGGTCCCCACATGCCGGATGGGAAGTTTTTTCAGGCAGAAGGCTCAGCCCTTCCCCAGTCTATAATGAGGAGCCTCAGGTCTTAATCTTGATCTTTCTTCTCTTTTCCTCCTTTAGAACATTTTGGGGAAAGACAATTCCATTTTCGGCTTTTTGGATTTCCTCTGCACTTCCTCCTGCACTTCTCCCCCCCCCCCAACTGCTCTCCCCTCCCCCAAGGATCAGGTTGAAACTTCTCTTGCTCGTGTGGATTCCATTGGTTTCTTCAGTGATGGCTTTAAGCTCAAGAGCTCATGCCTTCTCCGTGGAAGCTTTGGTGGGGAGATCGACCAAAAGGAAACTCCGAGACTTGCGGGATGAGCACCCGCCGCAGGATCTGCTGGAGAAAGGCGATAAGGAGGAAGAGGAGGAAGACAGAGAAATCGGGCTGCTGAGGAAAATCGAGGAATCGGGTCAGTATCATCACCCTTCTCCCCCGACCCCAACACAGCAGCAGCAGCAGCAGCATCCTGCTGCACCTCGGACACCAGAGGCGGCCAGCCCAGGGAGGCTACTTGGCTGTAAGCTGTCTTGGGTGGGCGAGGGTTCCCAAAACTTTGGATAGCCTACTACTGGGAGAAGTTGCCAGAAGGACCTGAGAGGGACTGAGAACCTGCCTCTAGGTCAGAGCTCCCCAGATTCCTTTTGGGATGCACAGCTCCCCAGCTATGGGGGAGCGCAGATGGGAGAGGGGAGGCCCTGCGCTAGGACTGCGGCCCGACGCCCCTCATTCCCTATAAGTGTTGTGGGTTTGAGGGACAAGAGCAGGTTCTTTCCTACTGACCACGGCGGGGGTGGGGTGGGGGTCTCCTTCCCTGAAATACATCACTTCATTTGGAGGCAACTTGCCGTGGCCCCCGACGAGACTCCGTAGCTGAATGACACTGATCAAGTTTCTAGTTCTCTCTGAACCTCAGTTTCTTCCTCTGTAAAACTGAAGGAGTTGGAACAGAGGAATGTTGAGGTTCCTTCCAGCAGTACCAGTCTCTGAAATGGGCCGGGACCTGCTGTCCTGGGGGACACTGGGTGCTTGAGGCAGCTAGGAGGGGAGAAGCTGGAGTTCAAATACTTTCCATTTCTGTCTCTGGGCAGAAAAGAGACCCAAAGCAGAAACTTCAATGACTGCTTTCTCCGGGGGCCACGAAAGTCCGGAAGATAAAGATAACGTCCAGGCAGAGCTGCAAGGCTCCGAGCTATGGCAGAGATTCCACGAGATTGGGACGGAGATGATTATCACCAAAGCCGGCAGGTAGGCAGGGCCCTGGTTCCACGGCCCAACCTGGGAGGGTCCTAGGGTGGACAGCACCAAACATCTCCCACGCCGGGCAGAAACTGCTTGCCAAGCGATCGAGGCTGTGCCCTGCCACTGAAGCACATGCCCATCTCCAACTGCGGGAGTCAGCTTCTCCTTGAGAGCCCACAGGCTGCTGCTTGCCAGTGGGGACTCTCGAGGTCAGACCTTGAGCCCGCTTCTAAACGAGCAGCTTTATTTGCCAGTAAAATTGCTCCAAGTCCTGTCAGTTACATGGGTCAGGGAGTAAATTATCCTACCTGAGGGCCAGAGAGATTCGGAGAAACCCACAGGTGGGAGGTGTGCCTCACCCAAGAAAAATCCTCTCATTTGCACCTAGCTCGGAATTCTCCCTGTGCGCTTCCTCCCATCTTGCTTTAGCAAAGCAACAGAAATAACAGGACGAGCTGAACGTGGAGTTAGCCCCAGACTTATTCCTCGTCACAATTTAAAAGTTCCTAGAGTTCACCTCCCAGAAACAAGTCAAAGGAACCTTTGGGTGTCAATAGAGTTGCTTGTTTTCCCGTTTCCCTTTTGGAAGCAGGTCGTCTGTTAGACCATACACAGGGAGCCCTCCGCTCCTTAGAGAGCACCGACATTTCAGCCGATGCACAGGCGGACCCCCAAGCTTATCCCCTAAAGAGGTCATTTCTTAGGCCTTTTATGCGGCTAGTACTGAATCCTCTTCCCTTCGCACTTGGGAAAGCGAGGAAGCCAGCCTCCCCCTCCCGCAAATGTTTTTCAAGGCCAGGCAGAGCAGAGTGCTTCCCGTCTCTTCTGCAGGAGAATGTTCCCTTCTGTTCGCGTCAAAGTGAAGGGTCTGGACCCCGTGAAACAGTATTACATTGCTATCGACGTGGTGCCAGTGGACTCCAAAAGATACAGGTAAAGGCTGGACGGTAGCTCAAACGCCAGCGGCATCGCTAGCCGGGCAGGCTGCTTGCTCTGACTTGCGAGCCCGGGGCCCCCTAACAGTCAAACAGGCAGATTAAAGAGAAATTCTTCCTCAGCAACGTTTTTTACAACGCAACTCCACTGAGCCCCATCCGCTTCGGCTGGTCTTGCTTTGGTCCCCAAAGGTTTGCGCCTTGTGTGCGGAGGGAAGGGTATCCCGGCTACTTCCTTGGGCACCAGGTTGAGGATCAGGTTCCTATCTTGGTGCTACAGGTCCCACATAGTTCTTGGGAGACCGGCGACACCCTGAAGCTTCAGCAGGAGAGAGGAGGCCTTCATGTGTCCTCAGAGCTGAAAAGGGAAAAGGGACACTGAGTCTGTCATTCTTGTGCCACAGGAACCAGACGCTGTCCTTTCCTTTACCCAGAGACTTCCAAGTCATTGGGAAGTCTTGGGCCCTCTTAAACCAAGGCAAAAGTTATGGGTATAGCCAAGACTGCTGAGAGGAACAGGTTTCCCTCCGGGGCTGGTTTGGTACCTGTTAAGTTTAGGGACTTCGATGTTGGCGGCCATAAACTGTGTGTCTGGGTGGCTGGAGCAGAGGCTGTCCCTGGCCCTTCTCTCAGTCACCCAAGCCCCAACCAGCCCAGGTGAGGGGAACAGGGAAAGCACAACTCAACCAGCTAGCTAGGGACAGGGGTGGGAGGGTGGAGGAGGGAGGCAGCTTGCAAACAGAAACAGCTGTTTGCTTTAGCTTCTGCAGTCTTGTTGAGTGTTTGGGAAGCTGGCCGCACATCTGTACAGTGTCTGGATTGGAAACAGTCCGTGAGTCGCCCCAGTTGCCTCTAGAGGTGGAGAGGGGGAGAAATGGGGGAGGCTCGGGGATCCCAGGACCTCGTTTAGCGAAAGGCCTCCCCCTCTAAACAGGCGAAGCAGAGCCAGCAAAGAGAACCCTGGAGCAGGCGAGCAGAGCACACCTTCCATCCCCCCACTCCCATCCGACTCTTGTCCTAGTTGAAGTTGGGAGGGACGCTCACTGGTCTCAGAGCTTACGAGGTGGCGTAGATCAGGTTTTCCTGCGGTCGGTTCTAGGAAATACAAACCAGACTCTGGGAAATCCCCCGACGCTTCCCCAGCCCAGGCTTGAGCGTTGCGTTGGGTTCCAACAACCTCCGATTATTGAAAGTTTGCTTGCTGCTCCAGACCAGCGCTCACTGTGGGGATCCAAGGACTTTTCCACGTGTAGCCTACGTAGGGCCCTTTTTCCCTTCTGACGGCTCCCTTCCCATGTTGCAGATATGTCTACCACAGCTCCCAGTGGATGGTGGCGGGGAACACGGACCATTCGTGCATCACGCCCAGGCTCTATATCCATCCAGATTCCCCCTGCTCGGGAGAGACATGGATGAGGCAGATCGTCAGCTTTGATCGTGTCAAGCTCACCAACAACGAGATGGACGACAAAGGACATGTAGGTGTGCACTCCGGCTGCTGACCGCTATTGGGGCGGGGGGGGGGAGGAAGGGGGAGGGGGGGAGAGGGAGGGAGAGAGAGAGACAGAGAGAGACAGAGAGAGACAGAGAGAAAGACAGAGAGAGAGACGAAAACTACCAGGGAAACAGGAGGGCAATGGATGAGCCCTCTTCTCCTACTACGCTAGACCCCAGGCTGTCCTAGCGCTAGAAAGGAAAAGCAGACTGCCTGCCCCTGTGGCTTCATTGCCTCTGCCCCTCTCCCCGTCCCCTCTCGGTGCTGGGAGCTTGGGCCCTGGGATGGTGGAGTCTGGAGCGTGGGTGTGGAAAGGGTCTGAGGATTGAGAGATAGAGGACGAGGCCGTAAACCTTAAGGTCTACAGGGAGGGAGCCCGCTCCTCCTGCTAGCACATACCTAACTGCCTGGTCCCTTCGACTGGATGATCTAGAAAGAGAGTATTCGAACCCCATTCTCCCCCACTCTCCAGCATGCCTGCCAGAAAGTAGGAATGGAGTGGGGGGCAGGGGTGGTCAAAGCCAGAGAGGAGATCCCGGTGCCAGGGCCACCCTGAAAGTTGCCTGGCCAAGACCATGGTAAGCGCTTAAGTAACCCCACTGCCCTACTGGGGCACCGCTAAGGCCAGCCTCTTTTCCTCCAAGCAGCTCAGCCTTACTGGACTCTCCCCTTGTTTTCTGCCTCCAACAAACTAGGAAAAGAGGCCTGGGCCGAGCAAGAGAGCTGGACAAGAAGCTCAGGCTACTGGCGCCACTTTTATTCCCCTAAGCGTGAAACTACATGTGGGCAGAAGGCGAAGGGCAACCTCTTTCCTGGGACGGCTCAGGGCTGGTTGGGGCTGGCCAAGGGAGGTGAAGGGAGACGGCCAAGGGAGCTTCAGGCCCAGCTGAGCGCTGGCCGGCTTCTGTAAGAACCCTGCCGGAGCTGTGGAGTTCAAAAGCAGGCAGCCGAGGACTAGCTAATTCTTTTGATCTCCTTGGGGCTGTAGCGGGTTAGTTTTAAACCCTTGGGTTGTTTAGGCCGAGGCCTCTTAGTCCCGGGCAGCTGCTGACCCCATGGACCCCTTTCCCTTTAGATTATCCTGCAGTCCATGCACAAGTACAAACCTCGAGTTCACGTCATTGTGCAAGACAGTCGCTTTGACCTCGCCCAAATCCAGTCCTTGCCAGCCGAAGGGGTCCAGACTTTCTCCTTCCCAGAAACTGAGTTCACCACAGTGACAGCGTACCAAAACCAACAGGTAACTCAGACCCAATCGGGCGCCTGAGATAAGGAGTGGAGAGGGGCGAGCAGTGAGCAGGCCCAGCTGGGTTTAGGGGTCTTGTTTGGTCTGAGGAGACAGTACTGAGGTTTGGAGGCTCCCACGCAGCCAGACTTAGGGAAGCCTGAAAACAAATGCCGCAAACTGGGGCAGACAGGCACCGGCAATGGGCTTTTTCTATGCCTCTTACTGAGAAAATCTATTTGTCTCCCCCTTCTCCTTTTCTATCTCCCCAGATTACCAAGCTGAAAATAGACCGAAATCCTTTTGCCAAAGGATTTCGAGATCCAGGAAGAAACAGGTAAGCAAAGACATCTGTCATAGGGAAGGGTGCTATGAATTTGTGCTGTGGAGTAACAGATTTAATTAAATTTATTTCCTAAAGGTATTCGACTGAGAGGGGAAAAAAACCCAACAGATTTGGGAGACTCAAATCTAGAACTGCAGTAAAAGTTGGGGTATGGTAGGGATGGAGAAATCTCTGTAACTCATCCTTTGCTGGAATTCCATAAAAGGTACCAAATGTTTCATTTCGATTTTCCAGGGGCGTCTTGGATGGACTTTTAGAGACCTACCCATGGAGACCACCTCTCACCCTGGAGTTCAAAACCTTTGGTGCTGAAACACAAAGTAAGTACATTTCTAACCTGCAAGTGAATGTTTATGTGTTAGTAGCATATTAGACAGCCAGGAGGGGAAAAAAAAAAACCAACTCGTTTCTGTGTATACTTTGGTGCTGTATCCCAAGCCTGGATAAGCCTGGTACATTTCAGGAAATTACAACTGTTAGGTCTATTAAAAAATATATTTTTTTGGTCATCCAGACCTATAATTTCATCAGCGTGGGAAACTCCCAGTGTGGAAACTCTGCTGATGCAGACCAGCAACTTGCCTATAATTTATAGTGACACAGTTACGTGGGGCACTGAGATTAAGTGACTTGCCCAGGGTCATTCAACTAGCATTGGTCAGAGGCTGGATTTGAAGCTAACTCCAAGTTTTTTTTCTCTCCACTATACTACCTTGCCTCCTGGACCAGGTTTTTTGATAGGTTTGGGCTTGTTTGTTTTTTGTTTGTTTGTTTGTTTGTTTTTTGGGGGAGGAGTTTGGTGGAAAAGAAATGAGTTTTTTTAAACCTCAAAGACAGACAAAATTGAGAGCCAAATAATTCTTTGTTGAATGAATGAACTCTGCCAATGAGAAAAGTGTGAAAGGTGAAAAAGAAACTGAATCTCAAGATCTCAGCTCTGGTCTTAACCATTTCCTGTCCTTTTCTCTGCTTAACTCATGTTTGCCAACGAATTGAATATGTAAAGAATACAACAAGCTGGGTATGCCTTAACATTTAGGAATATTTGGGGATTAATGTGCTTAGCACTTTTTGTAACATTGGCAAATCTCCTAGATCGTAGTTTCATTTTGTTGGGGCAGGGGGCAGGGAGAGACTTAAAATCGATTAAAAAAAAGAACCCAGCCATGCACAGTTTGGCACCAGTCATTCAATGGAAATCCTCCCCTGACACCTAGGTCATTACTGGAACCCCTTCTTGCTATACAGTGGAAGACATTTTCCTAGAGGCTTTGGGAAAATTTGAGCTGCAAATGAGAACTCTGATTTTAGCATTTGGGGGAGGGAGGGGTGGGGAGGCCACAGCGCTGCCTTCAAGACCTTCAGGAAATGCTGGCTTTTCTGTTCCCGATTTTGGATGCCTTTAGGAAAAGGATTAGCACAGTGCTTCGCACATACTAGGCACTTAAAAGCTCTTGATTTATTGAAAGGACAAAAAATAAGCATGTTTGCCTGCCTATATTCATTATATTTGCAGAACAGCTTACCTCCCAAGGTTTAGAAAGAATTCAGAACTATAGCTGACATTAGGTTTGCAAAATGTTACATACCAGGATAACGGATAATCATGGTACTAAGTAAAGTGTCAGAATGGAAAATGCGTGTAATCTGTTTCAATACATGAGAGAATATAGCACAGTGTCATTGACCCAAAGAGCACCCAGGGAATACTGTCTGACTAAAACTATTTTTTTAGCTTTTCTAAAGGGAAGAGAAAAAAAATATTCCTAATTGTTATTTACTCCACCTAAAGCTCAAGGTGAGGTTCTTAATAGTGTCAGCAAATAGTGGTGGAAGCTGTGACACATTTAGTGACTAAATACACTTCTGAAATTTTGCAAAGTTGTGTAATCAGGTAATAAACAAGCTTTCTATTTTCTGACTTGGGCTACTACTAGTCATGTTAGATCTTCTCTGGGAATCTCTGGTGGTCTTCCCAGGATCCATGGAGAGATTTCAGGGGCTCAATAAATTCAGAAGGGAAAAAAGGTATGTGTGTTTTTTCAATGCAATTGATTTCCTTTGTAATTCTATTATTTTACTATATACATTTAAAGAGCACAGATTTATTATCATTATTATTACTAAAATGATTGTTTGGAGGAATCCACAGGCCTCACCAGCAAGCTAAAGGGATCCATGACACAAAAAACGTTAAGAACCCTTGTTCTCAGGTGATGCCACCAAACCCATTGGACATGGGGCCCCAATTTCAGTGGCTAGTGGTACCTGAGCAACATAATCTGCAGATCATTCTCATTGACTTTACTCTTTAGGGTGGTATAGGCAATTTGAAAGCCTTAGCCTGGCTAACACCTTTTAAACAGTATAGCACATAACGAGACAAAAAACAAATAAAAACCAATCTCCTCAAAATATTACAAGTTGTGATAATAAAGAGAAAACACTAAAGCCTCTCCTTCATTGAGGGGGTGTGTGTTGAAATACAGTTTTCTCCATTATTTAATCTCACTATTAGTCTTGATATTGTGACAAAGAGAAACGTTCTAGTTTTTCAAAAAAGCTTTTTTTCTTTCTGTTATCATATCAGAACTTCAGTTTCCATGAGTGGAGGTAATTGTCAACTCATGGCTCTGGGGTTCAAGCTGTGTGTAGACACACAAGCTGGATTGGGGGTGTGGGAGAAACTTGACTGATCCCAATCAATAATGGGTTATGATTGAATCCAAACTTATTTTGTTGTTTGAGTGTTCTGAAATATTTTTAATAGCCATGTGTGTGGACTGGCCTGAAGCTTCCCAAATCTAATAAGCCACATACTTGGGAGGAGATCACAGTGCAATATAACTGAACAGAAAAGCCTCATTGCTCTTCGATGTTTTGTAATGGGCAACACGTTTCTACTTTTTGAGTTAAGTCACTTTTAGGGACAGAAAGACTATTAAGGGAAATATGGTCCCATGATTTTTTAAGCAAATATGAACTGAACATGTTTGGTTTTAGAAAATAAAATAATAATCAGATAGAATGGAACAGTGACCTTTCAAACATTTGAGGCAGACAGCTTTTATCCAGCAGATTTGATGTTTATGAGATGCCAAAACCACTCGTCATTTTGGGCCAGCACCTTTCAAAACAATTTGTCAGTCCATTGAAAAAAGAAATCAAGCTAGTTATTCTTCTGAATTTAAAACTCCTTTCCCCCTCAACACACATGGACTATCAGAGTCATAATAGATTTCTGCTGTGAACCCTAGCATCAACAGAAGTTACAGGATTAGAGAGCTAGAGCTGGAAGGGAATACAGAGGTCACCTAGTCTCACTCTCTTATTACTGATAAAGGAACCAAGGCCCAGAAGAGGGAAGTGACTTACCCAAGGTCACAAAGTGCAAGAGGTAGAGTCAGCTTTTTTGTCTGATTCTGAATCCCTGAACTCCTTCCACAATGCCAGCTTCCTCTTAGAATGGGAAGGCAAATATAAAGAGTGTTCATAAAAGCCATTTGGGGATACCCAGGGATTGGTATTTTCACTGCCTTTGTCACCCTCAGGTGGAAGCAGCAGTGGCTCCTCCCCGGTGACCTCCAATGGTGGGCCTCCCTCTCCTCTGAACTCCTTCCTTTCTCCACCTTGCTCACCACCGGCATTTCACCTGTCGTCCAGCACCCTCGGAATGCCCTACTCAGAAACCTACTTACACAACTTCAGTTTGCCTCTTTGCTACAAGATTTGCCCGAGTAATCTTTTGAGAACACCACCTCTTGTGTTTCCCGCTCCTGAAAAGCCTGGAAGCACCAATCCTCATTCTCTGCCTCCTTTCATGATGGAGGTACCCATGTTATCTTCTCTGGGAATCCCCAATTTGAAAAATGGCAAAGCTGAAGACTTAAGTGGGCAGTGTCTGCAAATGCCCCATCCTGCCAATCCAATGTTATATGCACCTGCAAATGTGTTCCCATCAACTCCTATTGCCCGAGAAGCCTTAGGTTGTACTTTACATCCTTCCTCTGGCTTTTATGGCTATAACTTCCCCATGCCATCCAGACTGATGAATGCAGCCAGCCATTTCCGAGTGAATCATGGCATCCCAGCTTCCTATCAGGATGCCAGATGTAACCACTCTCATTGGCATCCAACAATTAACCACTGCCTCTAATGTCACTTTGCAAGTTCAGAGAAGGACATGTCCTTACTCAGGAGGGCACCACCAACAAAAGCTGGTGAAGAGGAGCTACGTTATTAGAAGCCATTGCTCCATCCTGAAGTCCCTTACCCCAAAGGGATCGGATGAGTATCTTGTACTTTACAGTAAGCATCCCAGAGAAAGAAGATTTGAAGAAATAACACAGGGTTCTCAAAGCTGACTTTAGGGGAGAACTCCTTTCTGCCCCCATGAACTGGACTATGTGTATTCCATCCATCCCCACTTACACTAGAACTGGACCCGCCTTTTGCCCTTTTGTCATGGCAAATTCTGTCTCCTTCCCCAAATGGATTTACTTCTCACGGTGTTTGGTACAGAGCAAAGGCCTTTCCTGTGCTGACCTCTGTGGCCGTTCTGGAAGGGGATTCAAGTGTCCTTGGAAACCGTTCATTTGCACTCCACTGCTGAAGCCCTGCTAGCAACCTCAATGGGAAGGGACAAACAAGGACAAAAGGATTTAGACTTTTCATGAAACTCTGTAGCTGCTTCCTTTAATTACCTTGATGATAAAATCTGAACATTTAATGCTTAAGGAAAGCAAGATAAATGAAAAGCAAAACCTTCTGAAATAGATCTGATCTTTGGTTTCCTTTTATTTGTTTGGGAATCATGAAGCCTGTTTACTTGTGCCCTTAACTCACTTGCTATCTTAGACTCTTGCCAAAAAGAAAAAAAGAAGTGACTGAAGTTCTCCATGAAGAAGAATAAGAGAGTTTGACTGAAGGGAAGGGTGAAGACATTTGAGTCCACAAATAGGAAAATGACGTGAAATTGGTTGAATCTTACTTTCATGTGTAATTCATGGTGAAATAGACTAGATAAAAGTAATAGCAAAAAAAAAAGAGTGTAAATAATATGTACTTGTCCTAAGCTTATGAATCTTGCATTTCCCCCCTCATCTGATCTTAAAATGCTAAGAAGTATACGGATAATCTATCAAAGGTATGTGAAGACAAATCCAATTTTGATTTCTCATGGCACTAGGTCTAATCATTTTATTAAGGAGAGGCCCACTACCTTGAAAGGGCCTGCTATGACTTTGAATAAGTCCTTCTCCCTCCACCCTCACCCCAACTCTCAGCAAATATGACCTAGAAAGACATTTTAGTCATTGTTCAGTTGTGTCCAACTCTTTGTGACCCCATTTGGGGTTTTCTTGGCTAAAATAGCAGAGTGGTTTGCTGTTTCCTTTTCCAGCTCATTTTACAGATGAGAACACTGAGGCAGAGTGAAGTGACTTGCCCAGGGTCATATCAACGTCTTTTATTTCATACTGAGTGGTTACTCCTTCCAAAGTATACATCTGATACAGAAGAGCATTCCAAAAAACCTATTGCAACTTTTATTTCCGGGTGAGGATGGGGAGGAAGAAGTCAGACTACTATGGTATTGAAACTGAGTAGTCACTTGAGAAGAATTCATATATGGGGCCTAGACAAATGCAATATCTATGGTAAGATGTCGTTCAGTTGTTTTTCAGTTGTGTCCAACTCTTTATGACCCCATTTGGGGTTTATTTGGCAGAGATACTGGAGTAGTTTGCCAGTTCATTCTCTAGCTCATTTTACAGATGAGGAACAGAGACAAACAGGGTTAAGTGACTTGCCCAGGGTCACAGAGCTAGTAAGTTTCTGAGGCCAGCTTTGAATTTAGGAAGATGAGTCTTCCTGACTTCAGGCCCAGGGCTCTTTCCACCATTCCACCTAGCGGCCCCCCCATGCTAAGGTGGATGCTACAATATAGTCCAGGACCAGAAGCCATTCAGACAGGCTTTGAGAATCTAGGGCTTAAAGCGTAACAAATACATTTCATTTCTGTGTACCCCAGAGAGGGGGAAATGTGAGCTAATTGTTAACTGAGGAAAATCTTGTGAATCCTTGATGCAGAGACAGCCATGAGAGTACAATGACCCTGATCCCAAGGGATCATGAGCGAGACCGTCAGGCATCACTGAGAGAAGGTATTTATTTAACTGAAGGATGAACTAAACAATTCTGAAAAGCTCTGGCTTCCTTTCCAGGGGTGGGGAGTGAGGGGGAGGTGCTGCACAGTTTGAGAATGGCTCAGCTCACTGAGTTCAGTCACCCAGAGAAAACTTTTGATAATTGGCTGCATGGAGACAAGAAGGAAAAGGGCAGCCATTGTCCAGATTAAGGGAGGTACATTAACTTTTTATTTCTGGTATTCCATGATTTCAGTTATTATATCATAGGGCCATAGGGTTTAGAATTGGCAAGGACTCAGATCTCATCTACCTTCACTTTACCGATAGGGAAAACGAGGCCCAAGGAGGGGAAGTAACCCAGCTAAAGGCTTCAGAGGATCATAGGAAGAAGACCTTGAAAGAGTGACAATCCAGCTTCCTGCCTCTGAGCAGGCATAGACTTAGCATCTGCTCCAGTTCAGAAGTGCCTTGTGTATAGCAGGTGCATAATAAAGGCTTATTGATTCAAATTCTCTCTTCATGGTTTTTCCTGTCCCCCAACAATGATTCTTCCCTCCTCTTCTCCCTTCCAATCAATTGAGATATCAATGTGTATTGCAGAAACAATGACTTCTTTTGGAATCAAGGACAATGTCCTTGCCACAACAGATCCTGGGCTTTTTTTATTCACCATCCTGTTGACTTAAGCATCAAAAACCAATCATCAAACGTCTTACCCCAAATGGTAAAACCAAAAGAGACTCTGTTCAGCTCAATGTGGGATACTCGAGTCAGGTAATATCCTAATGAGGACCAACTGGACCATCCCCTTTCTGGGGTGGAAAAAATTTAAATACTGAAAATAACCATTCCCTCTCTCAAAGGAGTGGAGTTAACCCTCTTCTGCCCTTCTGTTTAAGTTACTTGCTTTATTCCGTTGAGCACATCACCAACATTCTCCTTCTGAAACTGATCTGGCTAAGGGACTTGATCAAAAGAAATCCAGGGCAGAAACATCTTCCTTTAGATCTATAATAACTCAGGAAAGGAGCCTGGAAATAAATAGACGATTGTCTTTGGATACTCAGCTTTCCACCCAATTCAGATTTGTCATGAGACTGGTTAATAAGCATGCATTAAAGGCCTCAAACATTGAGTGGGCTAGCTGAGCATTAACCCAAAGTGGCCAAATCCTCTTTGGAAAGCTAAAATTTGAAAGCACCCCAAGCCTACTAACATGACTTCACTTCATTATGCTGCAAGCACAAAGATAATTATTTCAAAGTAGAGAGATGCCTCCTTTCTTCATTGTTAAGAAGGCAGATATTTAGGACATGCCCTTGATACTTGACTAGGGTTGTACGTATGGGCCCTGGAAAGGATGACTCCATTCTTATTTTATGGGGCTGAAGCTGGTCTGTACAATTAGGATCTTTGAGTGATGAGGCAATGAATCCTGACCTCAGTAATCAGAGCCCAATGTGCTGACAACTTGATAAGGTGTCAGCAGTGGATACAGACAAGTATTGGCAATGGGCTCCGTGAAAAGGTTTGAGCTTTTTTCCCCCTCTTTATTTATTTTAGGATCATTTACAGTGAGCATCATGGGGTGGCAGGTAGGGGAGCCCACACAAATCCATCAGCTTATCTATTTTATGGGTGCTACTGGTGAAATCTTATTTAAATATTTAATAAATGAATCTACAAACACGTATATGGAAAGTTTAGCTGCCTCAATACAAGTCATAGGCCTACACATGCAAGGAGTAATATCAATTGTAATGAAGATACTAAATTGTTAAAGGGATGCTTTATCTTATATCAATATACTATCTGATAAATTCCAGATGCCATCTCAGTAACAGAACTAGTCCATCTTTTGTTCGTTCGGAGAATTCATACCAAGTGGCTTTATTTTCTCCTTACTCCCTAAAATGATGTGTCATAAAGACACTAGCTTATCACATACTTATTTTCTTAATTGTATGGGGAAAAGCAGATAAACATAATACCTAATATAATTATAGCACACATTATATAGTGCTTTAAGGTGAGCAAAACACTTTCCATATATTATCTTGATACTCACAACAATCCTCGGAGGTAACTGCTATTGTTATCCATATTTTACAGAAAATGAAACTGAGGCCCAGAGAGGCTAAGTAACTTGTCCAAGGTAGTAAATGTGTGATACAAGATTTAAAACTATGTCTTCCCAACTCCAAGTACTGTGCTGTCTCCACATAGCATGATACCTCCCACTCACATATAATTACTACTACTACTACTACTACTACTACTACTACTACTACTACTACTACTACTAACAGCTAATATTTTGTATGCATTTTTAGGTTTGCACAACGCTTTACATATGTTATCTCACTTGAGCCTCATAATAATCCTGTGAGATAAGTGCTATTACACATGAGGAAACTGAGTCTGACAGATGTCAAATGACTTACTGAAGATTAGACAGCAAGCAAGTATATGATGCAAGATTTGAATCCATGTCTTCCTCACTCCAAATCTTGTACTCTATCCAGCCTACCATGCTGTCTGCTGCCTGCTCACACAAGCTTCTAAGCAGAGCTGTAACTAAGAATCCTGGCCCCCAGGGCAAATCTAGCTGAGTGGATAAAGTATGTATAAGAAGGAACCATCTTTCAGGGAATTTAACCTGTGCTCTCACAGGAATTTCTTTTTGGGGGTGGGGAGTAGGGAGGGAAGACTAAAGGAAGAAGAATGGCGGGAGAGACAAGTCTAAGGGACTTGTCCCTCAGACAAAGTTATGAAGAGGTATGAGGACAGAAGGGATTGCAATCTGCTGCCCCTATTTCCCTTACTTCCACAGTCCTGGGACCGCCACCCCCTTCTCTACCTTCAAATGCTACAGGGGTACAAGTGTCCCAGGACCAGAAGGTATAAAGCCTGGAGCTGACAATCTCTAGATCTCAGTGAGGAGAAACCATGCCTACTTCCAGAGATGCTGGCACCTGAACAAAGCCCCCATGTCCATGCCCTTGTTACAGGCTTGCTTGTGAATGCTCACTCCCCCATCCTATCTATTGGTGATTCAAGTGGACAGGATGGAAGATGAGGTTTCCCCTCCAATTTAGAGATAGGAAGCTTTTGTGCTGAAAAGTCTCCCATTAGCCAAGATAACAAGAATATCCTGAGATTCAGCAGCAGCTTACCAGTTCATTCACCAGAATCTAATCTATTTCTTGGAGCCGTTTAAAAGAAACCAAATGTATAGTTCAGGCACCGGTGGCAGTCCCTTTGGATATAAGCACCTTGGTATACAGTTGACCTTCCAAGGTTTGAGCTGCAATTAGAAGATAATTTGCATCAAAAGTGTGTAAATAAACATGGATTGAATGACAGTATAAAGCAGAATGAATAGGTACACAGAGCATTTGAAACATATCCAGCATTAAAACTCTTTACATGTGTGGCGGACCTACTCTGGCCACGAGGTTTCAATAAAGTATGGAAAGGAAAGACTCCTATCATTTCCTCTCCAAGTTTCAAATGTTCATGTTTACAAATTTGTACTGCACATTAATATGTAAACATACATTATGGCGAGCAGATGGCTAGTGAATATTTATTGGATCTTGCTAGCTAGTTTGCATATTTTTTTAATCTATAAGAGCAGATAGAGATCTGTGTTGGTTTTAGCTCTATCGGTGCCTAAAGGTTTCGTGACATTTGGAGGGAAATCTTAATGGGAAAAAGTCCTATGAAATCATACAATGTCATTCATCCCTCTCCCTCCTCCAACGGCCAGCATTTGGGGTGAATGGTGACACTGGGAGACAAGATTTATGAAAATCTACGTACAAATATGATGCTCAGACCTAAGCAGCTCTGGCACTTAGTTCCTGTGTGACCACCTTGGACAACTCACTTAAAGTTCCTCAGGCTTTTGTTTTCTTTAATTTGGAAAATGAGGGAATTGGACCAGATGACCTCTGAAGTCTCTTTCAGCTCTAAAGCTATTATCCTATTACATATGTATTATATACACACACACACACACACACACACACACACACACACACACACACACATATATGGAGACAGACAGACAGAGGCAGGCAGCTAGGTGGCGCTGCAGTGGATAGAGCACTGGACTTAGAATCAAGAAGACTCATCCTCCTGAGTTCAAATCTGGCCTCAAGACACTTACTGTGTGACCCTGGGCAAGTCACTTAACCCTGATTGTCTCAGTTCCTCATCTATAAAATAGGCTG